CAGTGGGTGAAATTCTCTGGTCTGTGTTATACAGGAGGTCGCACTAAATGATTACAATAGTCCCCCTCTGGCCTTAAAATCTATTAATCTCCTTTCATCCAGATCCCAAAATGTTTTGCAAATCCACAGGCAGATGCTGCAGTGGCATGCGTGCTGAAAAACTCAGTCTCTAAGGTCTGGTCTATACTACCCGCCTGAATCGGCAGGTAGAAATCGACCTCTCGGGGATTGATTTATCGCGTCCCGTCGGGACGCGACAATCGATCCCCGAATCGGCGCTCTAACTCCACCAGCGGAGGTGGTAGTAAGCGCCGCCGACAAAAAGCGGCAGAAGTCGATTTTGCCGCCGTCCTCACAACGGGGTAAGTCGGCTGCAATACGTCGAATTCAGCTACGCTATTCACGTAGCTGAATTTGCTTATCTTAAATCGACTCCCCGCTGTAGTGTAGATGTACCCTTAGGAAAAGACCTGCCTCCACATTCTAAACAGCAGTTAACACGGCATAGCTGGTCTGGTCGACTTGCCCGAGCACCATATCGTAGAAAAATGGTGCTGCACTGCGGATCCTCATGAGGATCTGCAGAATCCCAAAGTCAGTGGGTGTGATGTGAAAAAAATGGGGGAGAGGAGTCGGGACAAAACTGACGTGCTACTTACATTACACCCTGGAAGAACATAAATTACAACAGAAAACTGACAGCAAGTCAAGGCTGCTCTGAGGAAGGGAGTCCAGAACCAGACACTGGTGAGACTGTTGTTTCAGCCACACCACATCCCCCAGTTACACTCAACTTTGTCCCTTGGAGCATATGGCTGAGTACCCAGCTGTGTGGCCTAGCAACATAGTGACGCTCCTCAGGGGTCTGGACAGAGGTAATAAGATTTCTCTCCTGCCTGTCTGATGGGCAGATACAAATAAGTGCTCAATGCTGCAGCAGCACCAAAAGCTGAATGATTTATGCCAGCCTCTCAGGGCCTTGCTTGCTGCTGGCCTTTTCTCATCTCTGTGCATTAAGTGATCACATGGCTAACTCCAAGACAGACGCTCTCTGTGTCTCCCTTCGTTGGTTTGGGTGGCATGACTCCCAACCCATCACAGCAGCCTGTCAGGGCTACCAAGCTCTCTCCCCATCTCCCGGGAGACCCAAGCATCTTAGAAGCTCTGTGGTCTTTAGAGGGTCACCCCTGGGACTCCTCCGGGTAGTTCTGATGGAGAGTCCACTCTCTCTGCAGTAAGACACGGAATAAGCAGGATGTGCTTGTACTCTCCTTACCTACAATGAACTCACTAATACCCACAATCAACTAGCTTCTGGTCTAGTAGTTAGGGCACCAGCGTCAGACTTGGGAAATCTGGATTCACGTCCCTGTTCTGTCAGATTCCCTGTGTGACCTTGGCTTTGACCAAGTCACTTGGCCTCTCTGTGCCTCAGCTCCCATCTGTAAAATGGGGACAATGGCCCTACCTCAAGGGGTCTTGTCAGGATAAAGTCACTAAAGATGGTGAGGAGTTCAGACACTGCACTACCGGGGCCATGTAAGTAACTAATAGACAATTAAACAAAACCAAGGAAATCAAAAACTCAAAATGGGCAAGAGAGGAAGCACACCAAGCAATGCTGGAGCGACACAAGGAAAGCAAGAGAGCGGAGGAGGGACATAGGTAACTGGGCGGGGGAGCAGGAAGGACATCACAGAGCCAATATTCCTGAGCCCCGCGAGACCAAGTCAACTGGCATAGTCCAGCCATGGGTGTCTAATTGCAGTGTAGACACACCCTGCGTTTATTCACACTGCATGAGGCCTGGACTCTGTAAATCACGAAGCAGCCTGGTCTAAGTGACCTCAGAACAGCCAGCCCTTCACTGGATGGAGAGTGGTTTGTGCTGAGGGCCTGGCCTGTTTCTTAGAGCTGCAAAGAAAAGAGGCCCCACTCATCAGGTGAGTTAGGCTGTGCCCATCGTATGACAGGTCAGTTTACTTTGACAAGAGTTAATAAGAGTCTTGGCTTGGGCGGGGGGGTGGGGGGAGGGGAGAGATGCAGCCATGAGTGTGGTTCAGAGTTCATCTCTGCCCCAGCAAAACCAAGGGGCAAGCCGCACAGAGAACCTTCTTCTCCTAATGGATGCGCTATAAGAGCTAACTGCTATTATTATTATATTTATTAGATCTCACACGCACCCAGCATCCTTCCACTGGAGAAGGGATGCCAGAAGAAAGATTCAGAGGGCAGGGAGGGGGTAATGGAGAGGGCAGGAAAGGTTCTCTTTCCTCATCCTCACCTTGAGGAGTGATCTGGGTGTTTTCCTGTGGCCTGCAGAGCACCATGCACACTTACCATGCTATGTAAGTAACATGGATTACAAACCCGCTCAGACAAGGCTTCCCATCCCTCCTATGCTTTATGTTCCAAAGCATCAACATCATTATCATGACATTCAGATCCTAGAAGAAAAACACCTTACACAGTATAGCCTCAATTATCCAAACCCCCTCTATTTAAAACTCCCCGCCACCCAAAGAGGGTCTTGTTCCCTGTTGTCTATGAACTACATTGTAAATAATTCTCATTATTCTAACTTAATCAATGACTCCAGGACATTTGGATCAGGAAGGGTATACGGCACACACACCACACCTTTCATGTAGGGATCTCAAACCACTTTACAGAGGCGGATAAGTATTTTTATCCTCATATGACAGATGAGGAAACTAAGGCACAGAGAGGCTAAGGCGACATATAAAGTCAGCAACAAAGGCGGGAACAGAACCCCTTGCTGTAACTACTAGACCATGCTACCTTACACTAATGCTACTGGCCAGATTAAGCCTAGATTCATGTACACAGTTCGAGCCAGAGGCACCACCTCTCCAATGAACGTCAGTTCACTGTCCTCACTCCAGTTAGTACTTCCACAGGGGTGGTAAAAAAGGGTGTCTGTAAGTGGGTAGGGCAGCGATCCAGCTCAGCATCAAAGCCTGTGCGATCGGACACAAAGACAGCAGCTGTTCCTTCTTCCCGTCACAGCCGCTACTGTTAAAAACAGGCTAACCTGAAAAAGTATAGTTGGTCGCTGTACAAACTGCTTCCAAAATCCAGACCACCAGGTGCTGTCCAGGCAGCCCCAGATGCCACTGTCAAAGGAGACTCTGCAAGTCTAAAACGACCTCCCAAGAAGGCACACAAATGCAAGCTCAGGCTCATTTTGAAGGCACTACCTCCTTTCCTATTGTTTCTTGTGTTGTGTTTGCTGAGATCCATGGGCTGGGGCATTAATTGGTGGGGCCCATTACCCAGTTTGATGTAAAATCAGAGATTTACATTCCAAAGAGATTTCGTAAAGGTAAAGGAGGTATTATTAAGAAAATCAGCAGGCATCAGCCAGAACTCATAAATCCCCCATTCCCAGGCTGAGATGGCAGTTCTGCTTTCTTAGTAACTGTAACCGTTAATGCCTGGGGTCATGATGTTTTTGATTGAAAGCAGAATTCAGCACGAGCAAACAGATTTATCCTCTCAGAGCAACAGGTAAATCCTGTAGTCTTTGGCGGAACTTCTGAATGCATAGCATATTCTAAACATAGCCCTGGAGAATACGACGGGAACAACCTGCATTCGGCAAGGGAGAAAACCATTTTTAGCTCTAATTGCTAGGGGATTCTTCCTTCTTTAATACCATGGTCTTCTCTATCCATTAGTCATGCACAAAGCTCAAGAAGATCCCAAAGTTTGGTTCAAGGAACACTGTCTAGTATTTAAAATACATGACTGTGAGCCACGACTCTGCCTGCTTCTGCCATAGATACACTGTATGACCACTGACCTTGGGAAGCTACTTCCCTTATCCATAAAATGGCAATACAATACCCCAGTGTTGTTAGACATCACTAATGCATATTCATTTCAGATCAGCAGACCAAAGCACTAAAGACTTGCAAAATATTATAAACTCCAGAAGTTCAGATATTTCTAGGAACCACCACAAACACTCATCTGGGACAGCCTGGATATCTGGGTCAGGCCAGGAATACCATGAGTACAGCCTTTGTTGTGACATTTCAGCATGTCTAGTCCCAGCACAATTCAGATCCAGTAACTACAGTGACTAAGGAGAAAAAAGCCACAAAGAGTCCTGTGGCACCTTATAGACTAACAGATGTGTTGAGCATAAGCTTTCGTGGGTGAATACCCACGAAAGTTTATGCTCCAATACATCTGTTAATCTATAAGGCGCCACAGGACTCTGTTGCTTTTTACAGATCCAAACTAACACGGCTACCCCTCTGATACTAAGAAGAAAAAAGTTAGCCAAACTTTTGTCATCCTTACAAAAGTTTCAGTTCAAGGTTCGGGTTAGTAGTTGCTTGATCTGAACAGATTCATCATCCCAGCATGAAGGTAATTAGTGAAATGTAGCTGTGACAAGCTGTCACTCCAATGCTCAATAAAAGGATGATTTAAGCAAATGCCTTTGGTAACTAGCCATCAAAACAGTGCACTCCAAGAGTCGAGAGGAGGCTGTTTTGCAGTCATGAAATCAAGAGCCATGATTTGTATCCCATCTGGAAAAAAAAATTCACCACTTCAAGTCTTCAAGGACATTTTAGAGGATTTCTTGTTTCCAACTTTTGCATTGTTTGATTGTTTTGATTCTATAATGTTTGCTGTGGACACAACACCGGACACTGCCCACTAGATCCCTAGAGATTGCTAATATCCAGGCTCAGCTTCTCAAAAGAGATTTGGTTAATCACTTCCTACACAACTGTTGCTTCACTTTGTGAATTCCAAATGGGCAAGAAAAGGGATCACACAACCCATCCCCCTGCCTCAGCAGGATGCAGAGAGAGAACAAAATAAATAAATAAACCCCATACTGAAAAAGCATTAAGGAGAAACAGTCCGTCTCCACAATAAGCCAACAGGCTTAGACAAACTAGCCCTGGGATTGGTCAAAGGGCAGTAATGAAAGGCCCCTCGCCCCATGGAAACATAAACAAGTGCAACCCTTTTAAATGTAAGACACAGAGAAAGAATGGGACCATTGCTCATTTGAGAGAACTCAAAAGTTTGGGGCAGAGACAGAGGGAGAGAACTGAACAAGGACTTGCAGAATCTTCAAAGCCAACAACAACAGCCCCAAGAAAAAGTGACGGCTCGAACATGATCTTTCTCTTCTCCTCTTGGGACCAAATTAAGGTACAGAGAAATTATCTTTTGCTTCCATGTAAGTAAATCCTTATGCCAAGAGGTGCAACAGATGGTCGAATCTGCTCTCTACACTGGTGATGCTTCACACCAACAACATAGAGGGACCCTTCCTCTTATTTCAGCCAAGTGCATTTCTATCACCGAGGCTGAAATAAGTGATCAGACATTGCAGTTTCCAAAAAACTCCTATTAAAACATTAGCACTTGATCTCATTATCTCTGTGGACACCCACATCACATGGGAGTGCTTATATTATTAACAGTGGTGAATGGCATTTTAAAAACATCACATGGGTCTTTAGATTTTTCCTCCAGGGCTTTTTTGTTTCTTGTTTTTTAACTTCTAATTTTTTCCTCCTTATTCGTATTTTTTCAAGAGAGCTCAGGGCCAGATTTTCAAGGGCCCAGCACCCACAACAGGGGCCAAATTTTCAAAAGAGCTCAGCACCCAATGTTTGAGAATCTGGCCATTTATTTTGGTGTCTACGTAGGAGCTGAGTGGCAGCTCTCTGTGGATGCAGTTGAGCTCTGCAGTAATGTCTGCCTGTGCTCATTGAAGCCACACGCAAAACTCCCACTGAAATCGATGGGAGTAAAATCAGACCCAGAGCAATCAAAGTAAAAGGTGGAAGTTGGGTTGTTTTTAGTGTCAGATGATTTGATTCCACAGACTGTGATCAAGTCAGAGGAGCAAAATTAAAAATTGACTGAAGTGGAAGACATGTATAGTCACTTTGTAATAATCGATTTATGTTATTTACATCTTTGGTATTTAATTTGCTGCATACTCACAGCATATCAACTGTACAATTGCCGCTATAATAACTAAGAGATGAATAATCGGTTGAATTCAGTATATTTAAACACAGTTCATATAAATATTACTGTTTAGAATAAATGCTGTAATACTAGATCCACTATGGATAATAGTATCTAAGACAAATGTGATAAGAGGAGCAGAATGATATTTCTTAGCACCTATCGTTCTTTACATACAAGCCTTCCGGACACATAAACGGTTATTACTAGAAGAGTATCAATAAATTCAGAAGTTAATTAATCCGCAGAAGTTGCCATACAAGTCAGGAAGTTATTTCAGATGGTTATTTCCTTTTCTAAGTATAAGGGGAAATTGCTGGCAAATGCTACAATTGTAATAGCTACCCCAGTGTACTCTTGCTATTTAAGAGGTTCTGATTTGCCTAACTCCAATTATCTGAGCATCCTCACCAGCCAACATTCTCTCCCCCTCTCTAAAACAAGTTCTAACGTACCAGACCAGGCCCTGCAAACCTCCCGACTGATTTCTCCACCTTTGCCATTTGGCACTGAGGGCAGCAGAGACTAAAATGATCCCCCCGCTCTTCCAAGAGTCCAGGCCCCTACTACTTGAGTGAAAAGAGAATCTTCAGTATCAGGAGAAGGCCTGACACACATAACTGGGCAGTTATGGTCCTTTCTCCTAATGGGCAGGGGTACACATATATGCACTTTAGCCAATTGATATTCTATGTATTCATGAGTACTTCAGGCACTCGAGAGCATATGTCACACTTTCCCCCATGGCTCCCTGGGAGCTAAGGGTTTGCACAATCAATCCTCAAGGCTGTCCATGATCTGTGGATTGAGTACCTAGTAGCATCCGCACAGTTGCTGCTCTCATAGTAGTCATGATTCTTTTGTAACGTGCTTTGAGATGTCTAAAGAGATGCAACACACAAGTGCAGTACTCTTCAGGCTGGATTGTTTCATTTATTCCAGCAGTGGAGGGGAGTGCGCAAGGTATTCAGTTGCTACAGAGAGGCAAAGTGCCATTATTCTCCCTTTCCCACCCTGACACCTCCTCAACCTGGGAACGAGATAATGGTCCACACAAGGCAGGAACAAGTGAAAGAACAAGAGCTCTTGTGGTAGGTACCAAGCACATAAAAACACCCAATCAATTGCTCTGTTAAGCAGATGAATTACTCTATTTTTGTGGTTCAGGAGAACCAAAATCAAGAGATAGTGTAAAACACCCTCTTTACCACCTAGAATACAAAAATCGGTATCTATAGAATATTGCATCATATACTGCTGCCCTCTACTGGATGAAATCATAACTGCTCATCTGTGTCATAAATCCTGTAAATGGTGAACAGAGATTCTCCTGAGGCTCAAGTGGTAGAAGCTTATGGTTTTTTGGAGAAGGAAGAGCCAATTCTATCCCCACTGCCTCCTGGAAGTTCTGAGCAGCTATGACGTGAGGGACAGAGGGATCCATAAAACCCTAGATGGCCACAGATTTGTCACGGTATTTTCTTCCCTTTGATGACCTTAGTTCAAATGAGTGAAGTACTGGAGTGACAAACAGAGAAGGATCAGCAGTGACCTCAGAAAACTCAGCACTCAGGGAACAGGGACCTTAACCAGCCACATCTCTGCTCTATAAGGAGCATATGGGGTTTATTTTCCTCTTTACCACCATCAAAATTCCAGAAGCTAAAGCAATCTGGTTATTCAATGTAGATAAACTTCAATAGCAAACAGTGATTTAAACAGCTGCCTCTGCCCCATTATTCTGTTATGCACATGGTAATGCCATTAGCAAATCTGACTTCCTTCCTGCATGCAATCGGGCTGATTTTAGAATGGGCAAAGATAATTGTTTCCTAATAATCAGGACCATTGGCAGGGACCGGACATTTGTGCTACAAAGGGCCTCCTGCCAAGAATCCACATAAGAGTTGAGTTTAGACAGCAGCAGCTCACCCAGCTCTGCCTGTGCATGTGTGTGAGAGACAGATGGCATCAGCAGGGGAAAGGGATTTAGATAACAATGGGAAAGAGGATTTTTTTTTAGTGCACTATAAGTTAGGTGCAGAAAACTTTTTTTCTCCTGCAGTGCAACCATGTAGAGCTGGGATGGCCTGCTTGTATGAATGGGCATGATAGGAAGAGAGGATTAACAAACGCAGGGATGAATAAAGATTAGACAGTGCCAGCATCCTCCAGAACTTCCTCCACTTTGGATCTGTTCAGGGAGGTCAGACTGCACCTCTACCTCAGTACAGACTTTGGGATCTTTCTCCCAGCAAGTCTGCTAGACTATGTTAGCCTACATATTTTAACTAGCATGTTTTAGATCTCTAGTGAGACAGGGCAAGTTGCAATTAACATACTGGCTGCTCAAGGTGAACAGTAGACTCATCCCATCTGAAAAATCAGAACCAGCATGCCCAAATCTGGGTACCCACAATTAGTGGACACTTTTGGAAAATATTGGCTTTCACATACCAAGGCCTCAGTTATTCCATCTCTAAAATGGGGAGAACACCTTTGTAAAGCAATTGAGGCATTCAGTTGCTACAGAGAGGCAAAGTGCCATTATTCTCCCTTTCCCACGCTGACACCTCCTCAACCTGGGAACGAGATAATGGTTTGGTCTGTCCCCTCAATGTAATCTCTATCAGCATTTCTAAAATCACCATCACCATAGCAGGTAAGCTCTGTATTTAGGTTACAAAGGGCAGGGAGACCTGTCCAGATGAGATAGCTTCCAACTTGAGCATGAGTTTGCCCCTGCTCTTTGGAGAATTCTTTGGCACAGACGGACAGCATGCCCCAAATACAACCAGCACTGGACTCACCCTGTTCCTTCTGTTGATGCACAGTGCATTGTGAAAAGCCAAGCTTATGCAATGGGATTGCTGGCAGCAACCATCTCCCCTCATGGCAGGAGCCTTTATAGAGGGAATCTGAGTTACAAAGCCCCTCTTGTTCCTTTCCATTAAAGATCTGCCTTCTTGTGTATTGCATATGAGAAAAAGGGTGGGTGAGAGACCTTTGTACGTCCTGGAATGTGCGTTACAGGAATCAGTGGCAAAGGCAACCATCACAGCAGTGCTTTGGATTGCACTTGTGAGTACAAGTGCAAGCAGACAAACAAGCAGCTCCTACGGAGTTTTTTAACGCTAAGGACACTGTTGAAAATGCTGCGCGTCAAAAACAGTGGCAAGAGCAGAACGGTGTGTTGGATGATAAGAATTCTGGGGGAAATGAGAAACAGGAATCTAAGGACTTGTGCATATGCAGAGTTGTGCTGGTTTAATTGGAGATGTCACGTTAAATCATTGCAAAAGGCTGTTGCTCTGTGGACATGTTTAACTCAGTTTGAAACAGGCCTACTGCAGTTTTGTTTAAGTCAATTAGGAACAGACTGAAGCGAAACCAAAAGCCTGTTTTGAAAAGAACCGTGTCCAAAGAGGGTTTTCACCAGTTTAACTAAATCAGTGCAAGACTGTGTGCAGACAGACCCTTATTCTTATTATGATATTTTCACAGTGATCCCAAAAGCATTTTACAGATACATAGGGATCACTTCATTTGCTACTTCTGCGGTAGAATAGAGCAGCTGTTAAAAGCCTTACATTCGATGATCTTCTTAAAATGGGATCGATTTCTGTGCCCCCTAGAAACCGATGCATTCTGAATAGTGACGCCATAGCAGAAATAGTAGCCTGAGACGGGGAACGGCCAGCGGCAGGGAGGACGGGTTGTTACTGACAAATTTGAAACCTGTTTCACTTACAGAATATTACTTGCCAAGGTAGAAGTTTAATATTTCATTTCATAAACCTCCACCAGGTCAACGGGAAGGACATCTCCAATGCCACCATGCAGGAGGCTCTAGAAATACTCCAGAGCACGGACGACCAAATCACGCTGGAGGTGCAGAGAGAGAAGTCCTCCCGCAAAGCGCCCCAAACAACCGATGCTGCAACCCAGACTGACTCCAGCTGGTGGGATAAGCAGTGCCCACACAGGGAGGATTTCACCCCATCGGGTTTTAATCTCTTCCTTGACAGGTAAGTGCATGGTTTTGCTTGGGGGTCTTCCATGAAGCAAAGATCGGATAATTATCCGTCTGTCACCTCTGGACCGGCACTGAACAGCTTTGCAATAGACACATGAATCTTACTGCTAGACTCCCTGTGCCTCAACAAGTTTATGAATTCTTTGGAAAGGCTGCTCATGCTTTGCTTGGCCATCCCACTGTACTAGCCTTGCCACAAGGTTTGCTGGGTTCACAACTGCACTATTCTGTGACTAAAGATCCAGCAGTGAGCACTAGAAAAGGGACAGCCCAGTACTGGTTATTTTACCGATAGCTGAAAGACCACGATTTCCCCATCTGAATCCTTTTAAGCTTAGTAAATGCTGTGTTGATTTACACAAAGCCCATTTTTACTAAAGTGCTACTGCCGGAGAGATGTGCGCGTCACCTGGGTATCAACAATGCAAGCTTCCCACGCAGACTGCTGACTCATTTTTGATTCCTGTCAACCTGAGCGGGTTTCTAATGGGCGACGTCCTGTCACTTGAGTACAGCTCAATCCCGCTTTTGCCCTGCCCGTTCAGTTTTGGCCAATCACACCATAAGAGCAAGCCACTACTGCTGCCTCAGCGTAGGACATTGAAAAGGGAAGCTTTCCGATTCCTGGGCCACACCCATCCTCCCAGGGGATCACTGTCCGTCTTTTATTCACCACTCCCCGCAGGTCCTGCTACAATTACTTGCTGCCCCAAGATCGGAATGGTGACAATGAACCCGGTTACCTGCCGACTGCCCCTCATGACGTGGAAAACGAAGAATGGTTGGACTATCAGGTAGCATTTCTCCCTCTTCATATTTGCCTTCGTACATAGAGAGACTTGAGGGCACAACAGGGTCCTGGAGCGCGACTAGACTAGGGCTCCTGGGCTCCTAGCTAATATAAATACTAAATAACTAAATCAAATCAAGTATCAGGGGGTAGCCGTGTTAGTCTGTATCTACAAAAACAACAAGGAGTCTGGTGGCACCTTAAAGACTAACAGATTTATTTGGGCATAAGCTTTCGTGAGTAAAAACCTCACTCACGAAAGCTTATG